CATTGGTTAGCCGACGGCGTGTGCTCACGACATTGCACTTCGTCGCGTTAAACTGCAGCAGGTTATCGGATAACCACTTCTAAGCCCCGTCGAGATCGCTCTGAAATGCCAAGTGGTCATCGCTGTCTTGCTCTCATTTCAGATTTTGCCCTCATCTGCATCACACTGACATATTCGCTAATGAATACTCGGAATAAACGTGTCCACTTTACCGATCTTTGGGACACGGCACACCGCACATCTATTTGGACGGAAATGGAGCTGCGGAATCTCACATTCAGATGACGTTTAGTGAGGAATTTGTTGATACAACGGTGCACAGGATCATCGATTTTATAGCTTCAAATCTTGCCAAGCAGAATGAGTTGATCCAAACGCTCCAGCTGTTTTGAGAATTCCAGCTAGAGGACGTCGACATCCGCTCTGCTATCGGCTACTTCTGACCAGCATGCACGGGATGTTTGCAAGTTTGTAAGGAAAGACCGATTTTGGCAGAATCCGTGCTGCTGTGACGTTAGGATATGGTTGTTCTCCAGGCATCTCTTGAAAGCCTCTATGATCGTGCCCCCATATCGTTGGATAACCCTGGGTGGAGTGTGCCTGGACGGTAGTTCGACGGCTTTGCACTTATACTTCACCTGTAAACAATAGTGACTAGTCAGTTTCTACATTTCGGAAACCTGAGTTTTGTCGAGACAACATTGTAAGCTCCGCTCTAATTGTTCAGCTAGGTTCATGGCCGATGTCGTTAAGGCTTTAGGCTCGATATCGTCCAGGCCAGGTGAGCTGTGCATGCACAATGACATCAGTTTTTATCCCCTTATCTGCTGTGAGCAACATGTAATTTAAGCCTGGTGGCGATGGTAGCTATGTTCTATGCAGGCGAAATGATGCTTCACTTTGAAACGGTCGATGCATTGTTGGCGAAACACATTGACCGCACATTGTGTAGTTTGCGCCAGCCCAGCTGTTGCCCTTGAAACTAAGAGCCCACGCTGCACCCTCCGGAGCTTCGGACGAGTGCTTATGGCAACCTGGATTCAGTACCGAATTTCGCTGCTAATTTCTGTTGGTGCTGTGTTTGTCCTCACTGATCCCCTGCCGCAGCGGTTTCTGCGATACTGTGACAAACTAGAAATCGACCTAGTTCGGAATAGTTAACAGTGAACTAGACTTAGCTCAGACCCAGTGCTAGCGTAAACAAGGAAGAAATAAAGCACAGCGAGCACACGTGGAAGTCGGATTACCCAATTCGAGGTAGCGCGAACTACTCGGGCCAAGTAAAACAAGTACAAGAAAATAGCGTTCAAGAACAATCAGCACTTGCCACACTTTACATGTAGTTGTAGCTGCTGTAGCTGGGGCTTTGTTTGTACTTGAACCGTTCGGACCTTCATACTTACTCCGGCGGACTTTCCTGTACTTCTTCGTAAGCATCGCGCTTTTCTGGATTGAAATCAGATAAAGTAGGCGTAGGTTTACTCAAGACAGCAGGTCTGTTAGCTGAGTTACACAAAAGCTGATCAAAGTGACTACTGTGTACGGACCCGTCCGTTAGCTCAGGTATTCGTGACATCCGGGAACCGAGATGACGGAGGATTATTCAACGAGGTGGTCAGAGATAAGTTCCACGGTGGAAAACGTTGTCGGCAGACTCAAAGCACAACAGTTTCGTCCCGAGCACACGCTGCTTGCACAATTTAGCAGTGCTGGGATCGGTAGTCGAATCTGCTGCAGTCATGTACTACATCAGGAAGTTAGCAATACCCTTGGCAAGCACAGTAACCCTTCTTGGATTGTGCGATTTGCTTGCGCTTTGCAGTATTCGCAAAAGCTTCTTAGCAGCAACAATGGCCTGTGGTTGTCTTGGCGCATTGTAAAGACGGCGCCAAGCAACTCCTTTAAACCACGCGTCCATATTTTTAACACGGCATTGCGCCCCATTGTCTGTAACCAAGACACATTTTACGCCTTCGCGACTAAAGCTCTTACGAAGAGCTCTGCTGGTAAGACCTGACGATGCGGAATTAGTAAAATACACTTCCTGCCATCGTGAAAAGCTGTTTAATGAACAGGGCATAATAGCTGTTCAGAAATGAACCACAGCAGTCTGCATAAACTCGTTGCAACCTCTCACATATCGCGGCTGAGGCGTCCAGTTACATGGTCTAGTATGAACCGTATGAGAGCAGCCCGCGCAATGCTTTGCAGTGTGGAATATATCTGCATTTGATTCTGGCCACCAACATGGCATTCGCGCCAAACACTTCATTGTTCCACACCTAGATGACCAGCATGCAAATCCTGTAACACACTAGATGGCACGTAGAAGGCACAACAATGCTACCTTGAACACACATACTTCTATCGACTGTAACATCAGTTTCATCACGGAGCTTGTAAAAATGCGGGAATCGTCCCTTCTGGTAAGTGTTCCATAAGTTACAGACTGATGACGGAACGGCATGATAATATTTCCGTGTATCTCGAATTAGATGGAAACGGCCTACCTGAAACGGCTGCGTCGAGATGCACTCAGAACTCTCTATTCCATTAGACATACCGCGTCGTGACAAATAAGCTGCATGTGGAATACGTTTAGCAATACGGTGTAGGACGTCATGCGAATATGCGGCGAGCGCAACGCTCCTGCGATGTGTCGTTGCAGCAGGGGATTTAGCCAAAAGTCTCTATGGTAAATAAACTACAAAGCTTCGTTATACGTTAAAATAGTGAAGTTTGTTTCAACCTACTATTGGTGGATGCGCGAGAACGCCCGGTGCACTGCGAGAGCCATTCCCGCTGTTTAAGCGTATATGCGTACCGCTAGAATAAAAGGTCTAGAACCACGGCACAGGATGACCATCTTTTTTAATACTGCTCCTACACCAGCAGCTGATGCGTCCGAGATAGCAGTTGATGGCAATTTTGGCGAGACGGGTCGTAAACCAGCATCGCTTGACAGAAGTCAGAGCAACGTACGTAAGGCCTTTTCCATAATGTTAGTCCAAACAAACTATTTTGAAGCTTGTAATTCGAATAGGCTCACGGTATTTACATCGAATTTAGGAATAAAGCATGAATAGTACTATAGAGAACCTGATAAAGAAGGAAGATTTCCGAAGCCTCTGCTGTTTGACAGAAAAGAGCGGGATCTGATGCAAACCACCTTCATCTAAGGTATAGCCAAGACAAGGACATTTTGGTGTACCCAAAATGCGTTCTGATAAGTTTATAGCCAGGGTAAACTCGCAAAAGTATTCCATAAGTGCACAGTCGCTCGGAGGCGCATTTGTGGATGCATGAACAATAACATCGTCTCGGTATGTTGCAATACCTGCTAGATTTTTAGTGCAGGAGTTCATCACATAAATTGACCGTGATACAGTGGGACCAAATGGCCAAAGTTTGACAAGAAGTAATCCGAATGGCGTGTTTGTAGTTGTAAGCGCACTAGATTATTCGTCAAATGGTAACTCTAAGTAAGCGTCCTTCAAGTAGCTTGGAAAAACACTTAAATTTGCCTAACTGCAGCAGGATATTCTTAGGTTCTGCAGTAGTACACCATCTTTGTATTGAGCACTACTTCAAGGTAGCTCGATAGTCGCCACGAATACTAGGTTTATTCCCGGCCCGCTTGAGTTAAGCTTAAACTGGAGTCTGTACCTGGACAATAATACCTATATCAACCACGTCACTAAGGGGCTTCCTCACTAGCTCCTGGAGCCCAAACGGGCATGTTCGTCTTTTAATGAACACGGGAATACCTTGGATGTCGAAATTAATGGGCTCGACGAGCATGTCACCTGAGGCGTTAGAAGGCTGCACAAAAGGACAGGGAGGATTATAATGAAGTAAATCTGAAAACCGTGCTAACAAAATGTTCAGTTTGCAAAGATTTAAGGCGTATAAGATGGTGGCGAGAATCTGTAGCATAAAATACACACTGGACTGGACTTGACGTGCCCTATGACAGAAACAATTCACATGTGTCAAGAATAGAAAGTACCTGACCAGTTATCAGTGTAACAGCCACAGATATTTGTCTCAATGGAACTTTCGGATCTATGGTTTCAAAATACGAACTGGGAATAAAAGCCTCAATGCTATCGGCGTCAACAATAAATGAATTTGCGGTCCACCGACGACCACAAATTTCTGTGTCATGTGCTAAGAGGTGTCCCAAAAAGCAGGTGCAAGTGCTAGTGAACGAACTTCGGATGCTAGCTATTGTTTACCTGATGTTAATTGAAGTAAACACGCATTCGAACTACGACACAGACGGCTGGCCTACTTTGTCGCATTTCTGACACTATTGGTTACGGAACTTGCACGTCAGCCTCGAATACTTATTACCACATAACTTGCAGTTGCTCTAACGTCTTCTTCCAAATGATAACGCTAGCTACTGTTATCCAGGTTTGTAACTAGTGTTTTAAACTCCGCGGATTTCCGTAGCTATGCTTCAGGTTACTGTTGGTGTTGTATACAAGTGCAGCTTCTTCCCCCACCGCGTCTTCCACATTCCGGTATAGTTCAAAAACGGCTCTAACCGACTGATAGGTAGGAACCAGTAGAAAAAGTAGCTTCTGATGCTAGTTCGGCAAGCCAACTTTAGCAATCGCCTGGTCACGAAGTTGGGCCTGCAACTGCTCATCAAAACCGCAGCGCGCAGCTTGTGTGTATAGTTGGGGGGAAATAGCGCGTACACCTTGACAACCTTTGCGCATAAAGGTGTGCAGTTTTGCTCTCCCGCCGCTTCAAAATTTGCCGACTGAACATATTTAGGCAGTAATATTCTCAGGGCATCATATTGTAATGAAATCGGTGGGTCAGGGGAAGCCGTTCCTCATTAGATTGTCAGCTTCTAGTAAAATAGTAGTAGGGAATTTAGCAGATTTATTCTCATCCTTAAAACTTTTCTCGTAATGCAGTAGACCTCAAAACGTTTCGTGTAATCCTTAATAGCGCGACAGCTAGAATGAATATTTAGATAACCCAGATTGCACAAATCCATGGTAAATTGTTTGTCCGGGACGCCAATTGCGGTTTGGTAAGAATAAATAGAAATTTACCTAGTTCGGTATAGTCGGAATTATAAAAGGCTTTGCTCAAACGCAGAACTAGCGTTAACCCAAAAGCAATAACACACAGCGAGCACACATGATAATCGTATTAACCAATTCAAAACTGCGCAACTTGGTTAGGTACACTAAAATAAGTACGACAAAATAACTTTCAAGAACAAACTCCACCGTTTCTCTGAGTTGTGTAGGCACCCAATTCAGGTTACTTAGACAGACTTTGTAAGCCCGATGCTGAATACCTTAAGTCCATGCATTTTCTCGTACGGCGCATCTGGAACGCGTTAACTGACTTCGGGCGAAAGACCTTGCATACTGACGCATAAATAAATAGGTAAATAACGCTTTTGTTCTCGATAAGGCGAGGCACGCCTTTACCGGCATGATCATGCTGACATAACAATGAGTGAGCAAGAAAGTGCAAAAATCCGTTATGTTTGTCATAATAGTGTATGTTTGTTAGGAGGTATGTAAGTATGTAATCATGTGTGTATGTAGCTGGGTGGGCGGGAGAGCCTATGGTGCGCTGAGGCTGGTGGTGGCTAGATCCTGACAGATGGTCTACCCACTGCTGCTACTGCTGCGCCATAGTCTCATGTCCTGGGCGCCTCCGCGTGGCGACCGCTGGGTGGTAGTTGGGTTTCGCCCTTCTCCCTGTCAAGATCCAGGACACCAATCCGCATGAGTCAGTGACCAGACCATGTGCTAGACCCGCTGCCTTTCGGGTGTTCATTTAATCGAAGGCTTTAGCTGAGGACTCGAGTCGTTCTGCTGTCAGGATTGGGCGCCCTGGCAGTATCCTAGTCCATCCTCTGGGGAGGTTAGTAAGTGGTCGATGGCCATCTTTCCGTAAAACCTAGCCATGGGAGTCAACAGGTCTACGGGTTATAAGCTCACAGCGCGATTGGCGTAGAGCACGAGTGTCACGCATTGTCTCTGACGGTGGAAGGACACCTCCGGGTGTTCAATGGTTTGCTACTGCCCGCATCAAGCCGGGCAGCCCCTGGTCATATTGGTGCAAACCCGCCAAAACCCACCTGCGTCTAGCCGTGGTCGCAGGTGCGTATCCTACTACGG